GGGTATCAAGAGCATCCTTTGCTTCAATGTAGGAATCCTTGGGCCAAATTGTTGCTGTCGATGCTGTGGTGGGAATGCATGCATTCCCTGTGCCTCTTGTTGCTCTCTATACGCTTGGAGCTGCTGTTCTCTCTGTCTCGCGTCATCGCGAGCGATTTCATCGTGGGACATACAGTGATCTCGTCTCCCAGAGCTGCACCACGTGATACTGGCATGTAAGGTTGGGATTGACTATCAAGCATGACTTTTCTAAATGCTTCTGCTGAAGCACTACTAAGTACGGAAGGCTGCTGATGACGTTGTCCGTTATCAGACCTAATTGATGCTACTTCTATCCTCACATCTTGTACTTCTTCCTTCATCTGTAGCATCATCTCCCGCATTTCACGCAATACTGCTGCTGGAGTGAGCTCTTCCTTTTTGTCCGTCACATTGTGAATGACATTATCATTCTGTTGTGATGAACTCATAACCTGTTGAACTAAATCGGTTGCCCAATACGCTACTTCTGCGCAAAATGCTGTAAATGACAGATAAGAAGGAAGGACCTGGTGGTTTGAAGGTAAGTTTTCAAGTGAATGTATTCTGCTTTTAGCTATGTAATTATGCAAATGGTTGGGAGTTTCATAACTCCTTCTGGTTTACATAGGTAAAGACTTTACTTGTTTCCAACAAACAATGCTGGCAGATAAACTGCTCTACTCTGCTGCGTCGTCTGGACAGTAGTGCAAAGCAACATTTTGAAAAGCAATTTTTTCAATTTCTGGTAAAATCAATTTATCGTGGCTTTGCTTAAATGCATTTGTTTTATAAAAGCGAAACAATGTCAGTCTAACACGTACAGGGAAGATAATACTCTTATTATTTATCATCGTTTCTCAGCGTCAACAGAAATAAATATAGACAGAATACGGTGGGGTGGGTATCGTGTATTGGTGTAGGCGCATCACATTCTTGTCGTAAATGCACCTCGCATACAAGCCAAAAAATAATGAAGGATCATAATGAAGCATCATGATTCGTACCGGTACAGATGAAGGTGATAAGACTTTCGGGGGGGGGTATGATTCGTGGGAGACTAACCTCACGCTATGTATTATGTATAGAAACTTAGCATTGTAGATAGCGAGATATTAGCACTCACAGTGGGGCGACTATGGTAATAGTCCTGCCCTTTGAGGGTAGAGACAGAAAGAATTCCTTTGTCGGTGAAAAAAAACAGTACGGCCACTACTTCGGCCATGTCCCAGACGGAGCAGCACAGCGACTCATTAAGCCGCGACGCCGCGCACATTTCCGCATTACCAATATAGAAAGTGCTACATATGACATCATGTAGCGAATGCTCGCTCTGCTAAACGACGCATATCGTGTACGTTTAGAAACTTGTCTACCTGTCGAGGAGACAGGATAGCGGAATTTGCCCGGGCGTTGCGAGCTCTCATCGCCGCCGTGGCATCAGGACCCGGATGCGGTAACCGCTATGATCTACATGGACCGGCTCGCACCATAATCTTTTGCGGTCACTCGCTCCTTTCGAAAATACAATGAGCGTCGCATTAAATGCGAGTACATAGTTGGTTTCAAGGGCCGATTAGAGTACGGGAGATGGAAATTGCTCAGACGGGTCAAAACGATAAATCCCAACCATGCGAAATAGTAAAAAAAATACTTGAACTGCCAAGCATCACCGTGATATCTTAAATATCGAGGCTGTTGGTCGACTGATGTATTAGTTGCGGGAAGTATTCGAGTCGGACAAAGCTAAGTGCGGACCAAAGGAAAGATCTGCATACATCGTAGAGGTCAATGCTAATGGAACCCACCTTTGTGGGGGGCAAATCTCATTGAATGAGGTGGGATTTGCTGTCCAGGGTGCTGGACTGTCAACAGCAACGTCTCAAACCTTTTAAATTTGTGTTAGGTCTCAATAGATTAAGGAACGACGGGCGAATATGCACGACACGTATTGAAGATGTAGTATAGTACACGGAGTCACGAATATGCTGAATACGGTAACTTTTCCCGTGCGCAATTTGCGCAATTTAAGCTTCTATTTTTGCTGTGCGTCTTTCGACGGGGACATATCCATGGTTTGTTTAAGGCACTCTGTAAATTCGAGATCCTTGGCGGCGTGGGACGCTATTTGGCTCCAAAGCTGAACTCGATATAAAACCTTATCCTGGTTGGCGTGACTTTGATGCCATGAGTCATGAAGGTACCGATAGCCCATAACCATTCGGGATTCGCGTTCTCGTCGCACAAGCTTATGAGGAGTGTCTCAGGGACAGTTGTTAACAGCGCCCTCTTACACCTGGTAACAATTCCATACCAGGGCACATGAAACCCCGTTACACTCTCTCCCGTGAACACCTACCATTCATGTTCATAGGTCGCCTCGAACGAGGCTCGCGTGTCTAAGCTACCACAACATCACCAGTACCTTCTCCACGAATTGTCTGCTCAATGAGCCCTGTGTCGAGGAAACGGAAGACACCCAGCCTCGCTGGTTCCGAGAACGCTAGCGTGCAGAACCCTTTTCCGTTTCCTTCATGCGGTGGATCTTCGGACAGCACGTTTGCGGATTCAAGAGAAGCGCAGCTCAAGCTCTCGGTAACCGAGTACAACGCAGCGCATTGTCAGCTACAGGGTCGCACGACCAAGAACACAGACGCGATGTCTACTCCCGACCGCGCATCGCGCCCGCCATGGGCGATGAATTCCCAGGTCGAGAATTTGGACGCAGTCGACTACGAGTCGGACACTCCTTTCCAAGGGTCGAGAGGAAGAAGAAGGCGAGGTGCCTTCGCGGCGCGACCTGAGCAATGCTCGAACCTTGCGGACACCGTGTCGGATCCCCGACCTCTCGCTTTCCGGGGAAAGTGGTGTCATTACCAATGACCTCGACGAGGCACAGAAGCAGCAGCTAGATGCTGTCCGCAGGGTGGCTCCCATGCGCGCGCATCCACAGTCGGTTCTTGACCCTCGTGTGGTATACGGCTTCCGCTCGGCGGATTCCGCTACAGAAACAAAGTCGCGATCAACCGATCGTTGGGCATCCACTATACAAGCTGAGCTTGACCAACGAAAAGCTCTCCGAGCTCGTTTCTTGAATCATCAAGAAATCCTAGTGGGTACGTACTGCACTCGACTTGGTGCTCGAAGAGGAGGCGATCCTGTACCCGCAATGCGGACGAATCCTGTGGTGCTTGCCCCTTGCGAAATCGCTACAGATGGCGAAGAGCTCGATGGGCGCAGCTGCACCGAAACATTTTTTGCTTAACAGCTTACAGCTGAACCACAAGGAGGTGAACACGCGCGTGGAACGCCATCTTCGGTTTAAAGTTGCCAAATTCTCGGCGCGATGCCTACTTCCTTCGGATAGTCACCCTGCGACGTATGGGTTGATTCATCACGCTCCCGCGAGTTTTGTGGTGTCTTACACGGGTGAGGCTGGACCGCAGCGACTCAGAACCATAATCTGAGCTCAGCTTATGGACCTGGGCTTTTCTGGCTATTGCCGAGAAGCGCGGGGCATACGACGACGCGCAGCGTCATGATCTCTCTGATCATAAGCGTCCACGACGAATGGGCAGTCTTGACGAAGTGGCACTTTAAACTCCTACGAGTTCAAAAAGTCGGGTTATCCCCGCCACTCCTAAAGATACTGGATTTGACCCTGGCGATGACATCGACCCACAAGACGATCCACGTGATAGTGGAAACTATCATTCTCGTAGAGGAGAGTCGGCGACGGGCGATAACGACTGAGTTGATCGTCGTCCGGTGACTAGCGATGCTCTTCGGGCTCTTGAGGACGAGGTTTGTCACAACCAGGACTCCGCTGAGCGTTATGCTGAGGTCGCTTACCGCTGCGCGGAGGATCTAGAGAGCTTGGAGCACGTTGTGTAACGGCTGCCTCGCGTTGATGACAAACGCGCTCTGGTGGAGCGGCACCTACCGTTAAGCAGATAAATGCATAGCTTCATACGAAGGCGGATCGCTCGGCGCCGATGGAGATAAAGATCGTTGCAGTCCGTGCTCAAAAGCCAGTTGCTGGTCCAGCTTCTGAGTGGTCGAGCGCCTGTGGGCGCCGCTCCGGATTCGACGCTTGCGCGTTCACTTGCACCGGATTCGACGCTTGCGCGTTCACTTGCACCGGATCTCGGTACGGCTTAAGCAAGCCCACATAGAATACCGGGAGGGTGCGATTCGTTTCAGAAAGTTTAGCGTATACGCAAGGTCCCGCTTGGTCACAACATTGAAAGACCCAATAAATCCTGGGACGGAACTTCGTCTTAAAGACAGCAGAAATTGCATCGGTAGGAAGGTTGTTAGCATGCAATAAAACAGGTCTCCGACCTCAAAGATTTTAGCATTTCCTCTTCGGTCTGCATATTACTTCTGCATGTCTTGGCTTCCAGCCATTGCATCGCGAATGTGTGGTAAGACACTCAGTTTGGTAGAAAGGAAGTCATCGACTTGTTTACGAACAGTGAGAGGGCTGACATCAGCGGAACACGATGATGAACGAGCCCGTTTACTTGAGCGGCATGCAGCCGGTAGATAATTGCACTGCATTGTTCAGAGAAAACTTTACGAGTGGCAGCATGGCGCTCCGGCGCCTAGGATCCAGAGCGCAGACGCTGCGAAAGACATCATCGACGACGTGATTCACGCGCTCAGTTTGTTCATCGGTCTGCGGATGGTACGCTGTTAACATATTCAGCTTGGTGCCCAGCAACTTATATATTGTTGACCAAGACGTCTCAGTGAAGCTTGGATCTCTGTCAGAGACAATTGACTCGGGTTGTCCACGTTGTCGAAAGACACGATCCACAAACGGCGTCGCTGTACCGACACCGTCGATGGTGTCCGGCATCACCGCAAGACAAGCCATCTTGCTCAAACGGTCGACGAAGACCACCACACCCGTATTGCCCGCCGAGTCCTTCGGCAGGCAAAACACAAAATCCAGACTCATAGACTGCCAGAACCCCGAGGTACCGGCAAACTGGCCAGCGGCCACTACGCATTCGCAGATGGTTTTACCCTTTTACAAGTCTCACACGTGCGCACATAGGTGCTCGTACACTTGTACAGCTTGAGCCGCCAGTAGTGCCAACTTACAGAGCCGGAGGTCTTTTCACGACCGAAACGATCACTGAGTGGGATGTCGTGGGCCTCATAGAGGATACGGTACATTAAATCCACATCGTGAAGAGTCATCATTCGTGGCGTATCCCGATGAGTCGGAGCTATGATACAGCAATCCATTATTTAATGAAAAATGGACTGCTGTCGTCGCGACGACAACTTCTTGTCCGAGTTACCAAACGCTCTGCTTACGAGCCAGTAGCAGCGCTACGCACATATCATCACCTGCATGCGCGGCGCGGATCAGATCCGTCACGGACGACGTCACCGTCGTGACATGAGCAAGCTCATAGTCTGGTCTGCGTGACAATGCATCAGCCAAAACATTATGCTTTCCTGGCTTATACTTCACCTCGAAGTTTTATTCTGCGAAGAAGGAGAGCCATCTGGCCATTCTCTGCGAGGGGTGAGGCGACTGAGTCGCAGTGCGTAATGGTGGACTCGGCTTCAACGGCTTGAAGCCGAGTAGGAGCATTCTAAACTTAACAATTTCATACTTTATCCCAAGTGATTCCTTGTTGTAAACTGAGTAGTTCTTCTCTGCAACTTTGAGCTGGCGAGATTCGAACGCGATCACCCGATATCACCCCGCGGCGTCTGTAACTATTCCATTTACTAACTCATCTGCTTGCAGCAGTGCACAGCCGATGACAAGGTCCGAAGCTATACAGACAACACTAAAGGGACGATCAGGGTCGGGCAACGCCAGTATTGGTGCATGAAGGAGGCTGTCTTTAATTCCGTCAAAAGCCTCCTGATAGTCAGTGTCCCAACACCAGTTCGCATCCTACTTTAGGATATTCGACAATGGTAGGGCCATTTTTGCTAGTTCTCGCTGTACTTGTGAAATAAAATGGTG